ATCACACATTGAAGAGAGAACCTGATTTAGATCAAACTTGGTTATATTTAGAGAGGACTTATGTCTGGTGCGAATATAGCTAATATTAGACCTATCCTTTTTATAACTCACCCACAAAAGTAAAGTAGTAATAACTGTCTTAGTGGAAATCAGTAAAGAAATTCGGGCGGGACCGACTTTATGATAGCCTACACCATTTTGCATATTTAGTAGAGCTTCACATAACAAATAAAAGTTTTTTTTATGCGGAATTTGTGAGAATTAAATCATACCAACTATGTTTATGGCTATAATTTAAAATTCAAAGGAAAGAGGAATATCCTCCTCTGAATCGGGGCTTTCGGGGCAATTCGGGCTTGTATTAACCAATTGACCTTAAATCTGATAAAGATATAATGGAAGCTATATCCAAATCTGAACCGATATCGATAAAATTTGGCAAAGGTATTTCTGAGCTGTATTTTATATATTTCTCCGAATATAGTTGTTACGGAGTGCATATTACGGCTGTGAAGAACAAATATAACAATTCGGATGAACAATATATACGGGAGCTATACCTTTATCTGAACCAATTTCTATCAAATTTAGTATACTCATTTTCAAGCCTAATTTGGTCGCACGTGCGCTATATTATTTGGGCTAATTTTACACGTTTGGACAAATCGGACGAAGATATATATGGGAGCTATATCTAAATTTTGACCGATTATCTCAAATTTAAATAGGGCTCGTCCTTGGATCAAACAAATGAATTGTGCAAAATTTCTTCTGGATCGGGCAATAAATGCGATCTGTAGTTTGCTTACAAGAATACATGGACAGACGGACGGTCATCCATAAATCGACTGAGAATGTGATTCTATGCAGATCTTCAAAAGGAACTATGGGTCTATCTCGTTTCCTTTTGCCTGTTACAAACAAATGCACAAAGATATAATACCTTGATCACCTTGTCGTGTAGGGTTGGGAACTTGTCCCATCCATTTAAGTTACCTTACAATGTAAACTTTCAAAACGCCGTTACAAGCTCTAATTTTATAATCTCATGGCATTTTCCTGTAATTATTTAGAGAATTGAATTGTCGCATAGTATAAACGTAACTCTTATAAAATACGAAAATATATCCCAGTTATCTTTTAAGTTGACACATTGCAATATTTCTACTAACATCAGTTCTACTTTTAAAAGGCTGTACATAATTGGATACCCAATGCTGAGAGTATTTATCAGTGTGTACACCAACTGAAAGTTCCTAACTTGACTTATTTTGGTTCGGTTCCACATCAAATTACGGTCACTTGGAAAAATTAATATTTTCCCACAAATCCAACCGAATCGATGTTCTCCATCCGGGTATATGTGCTACCAACACAAGCGACTTTTTATATCAACTAGATAAAGTGGAAGCTCGACGCCTATTGCTGCATCTATCCATCCATCTATCCATCCATTGTGCTGACAATTAAATAATTAATCCCATATATCTATCATTCATGGTTAGAGTTTATTTGAATTTTAAAAACTTCTGTTACGCTCACTCAAAGTTGAATTACAATTCCATTTTATTCTTTGTGTCCCACAAATGAAAAAAATAGAAACTCCAACAGTCGGACGCTGTCCATACACATAGATGAGTGTTGGGATCGCATGGATAAATTAGTGAAATGCATTTTTGTTCGCTTCACAAAGTTGCGGATGGATTGCTGGTTGTGAGTACTTGACTGTGTTGCAGTTCAGTGAGTTCTTTCTATGCAGCTGCAACAAATAGCAAAAGTGACAACAAAAATAACACTAATAAATATTTAGTTTGGTCAGACAACAACTTTGTGTCACAAACACCCAAGTGAATATATATCTCTTTCTTTTACAGTGACACACTAACTAACAGAACAAAAAAAAAACAAACATCGATTAGCAAGAGCTTCTAAAAACAACACCAACATCAGCTACAAAAAAATTTGCTTATCTTACATGTTTATAGATGGCGTTGTCCATTATAAATAGAATGGCAATTGTGGTGGGATGCCAAGCCAACCATTGGTCAGACACTCACTCGTTGTCTGCTCTGCCAATCATTCGTAGTCTTTCCATATAATGAATATGCGCCTATAAACAATGCACAGTCTCTCAAAAATAAAACTGGTTTAAAAAAAAAAAATATTGACATTATATTTTTATTAATATTTTGTAGGCATTCTTGTCATTCCGTTAGCAGCAATTCAAATACTCACCGGAGATCCCATAAAAAATACAAACAAATATTTGATCAGTATATAAAGAGTGAAATAAAAAAACTGCAACAAAGTCAAACGCCTTAATTTTTACATTGTTTTTTAAATTTTATTGAATTAAAGCAAATTATGTCGGAAATAGCATCAAATTTAAAATAAGTTTAGATTTGTTCGAATTTGTCACCTTTGGCACGAATTATGGCCGTCCAACGTCCAATGAAACAGTCACACGCTGCCCGAATGTTGCCCTGCTGTATTTTGACCCATTCCCGGCGCAACGCTTGCTTGAGGTGATCCACGCTTTGGTATTTTTTAATGCCAACCTTGCTTTCCAAAATACTCCAGACACAATAGTCCAACGGATTGGTATCCGGAAATTTTGGTGGACATTGTGCACTGGGAATAAAGCGAGGAACCTCATTTTGTAACCATTTTGGGTGGCGCGTACTGAGTGCGATGGTCCTGTTGGAATGTCCAAGGACTGCAGCCAAAATGTTTGCGTGCCTAAGGCTTTAATACACCCTCCACAAAATGTTCGTGATAATATTCGGCATTTATTCTGATGCCACGGTCGATTAATACGAGCGGAGAGCGATCATCGGCTGTTATGACGGCCCACACCATCACCATGGCCGGCGCTTGAGTTCTGGTGGCCAACCGAAGGTGCACATTTTCAGCTAACCTCTTTGGCAAGTAAACACGATCAGTTTGTTTGTAAACTGCTGGACAACGAATGTTTTCTCATCGGAGAAAACCAAATTCGCAGTTCACCATTTTCGGCCTAGCGAAGCAACTCTTTAGCTCCTTTGAGTTTATTTCCTTTCTGTTGCGGTGTAAGTTCTTGCACTGTTTCAATATATGCCGAATGAAATATCGCGATACGTTCAGCTCGCGAACCATTTACCGGTCACTCCATCGCGGGATTCGATCATTGCGGGTTTCGAACCATTTCTGCTGATGTTGCTGTTTTCTTCCGTCCACTTCCTTGATGTCGGTCTACGCTACCAGTATCACGGTAACGAGCCATGGTACGAGACACAAACGATTTATTCATATTTAAATGCAGGAGTACTCTAACGATAGCCACTTGTGGTTTTCCAGCCAAATATAAAGAAATCATACTATCACGCTTGAATTTTATCAGGAATAACTTTTTTTCTGGAAATTCTCACCAAAATGCTTTTGTACACTTGTAAACAATATAATAAGCTGTCACTGGAATAATTTTAACAGCTGTCGGACGAGTGGCTTAGAAATAACAGCAGTCTGAAGTTGGTTGCAGTTTTTTCATCTCACCCTGTAGTTGTAGCCCCCAAATAACTGTACCTCCCTATATTTGGTATTTTGATGATTTTAGCTATTCTGTTCACAGGAATCATTTCACATTTAGTAATTATAGTTCGTAATGGGTACTACAGACTGTGACTATATGGGTCCACGTCTTTGTATAACGGTACCTCCCGATATTCGGTATCTGAGGATTTCAGCGACTTTTTTCACCGGAATCGTTTTAAATTTCGTATTCGAAGATCTTAATGGGTACTACAACCTATGGCAAAAAATTCGTATGCAAGTCCACTATACCCCATATAACGTTACCTGCCAATATTCGGTATTTTAATGATTTTAGCGACATTATTCACCGAAATTATCACAAACTTCGTATTTAAAGTTAGTAATGGGTACTGCAGCCTATTATAGAAAATTGTCTGTGTGACAATTTCTATCATAGGCTGTATGATAGAAAATTGTCCATTTTTTAATGGAGAGTATAAAAATCTCTGGCAAAAATCTCCCATCCACTTAACATTCATTCATGATTTGAACCACTGTTGCACTGGCTTTTTGCAGATAACATCGAAAGTGCGTCGTGGTGCCGGCTCTTTCAACATATCGTGTCAGTGCATTGGCCACGCAATGGGGTAATATTTTTAAAATATTTTTGCTTTTGTTTGGTTCCTCCTTTGTTTTTTGGTCTATCACAGAATGGCACTTACATTTTCTTGTCTAAGTTGTGGGTTTTTTTTTTTTTTTGAGAATTTTTATAAATTTAACAGTATTTTCTTTTTCCTGGGATGAGGAAAATGGTGGAGGTTGTTTTGGGTGTGCCCGTACGATCTTGTTGGATTGCTGGCAGACAGAAAGTGTTAAAGTAAAATTTTACTTAAAATTTTCTGCTGCCGCTTTTGTTGTATTTCGGGAGCAGACAACAACAGAGACAATAATGAAATGAAAAGCTTTATTCTTTTCCTGCATGGCGGGGCTTTGTTTTTCTTTTTCCATGTTTGTCATTTTTGAATAAAAACATTTTATACACGACAAAATCTGCACCTTTCTTTGTGGTGTCACTACTCAAGAGTTCCTTGTAAAAACAAATAATGACTGACCGTACTTTTGTTCTGGCTAGCGAGTGTGTTTGCAAGACAGAGAAGGGGAGAACGGGGGGCGAAAATACAATTTTCTTTTCTTATCCACAATAGGCCAGGTTATTTGTAGAAATTTTAAACTGAACATTTATTAGTTGGCCAACAGTCAACAACAAAGTGCAGCACCTTAACAAAGAAAGCCAAAAGTGGAGGTCTATGGTCTTTTGGAATTTCTGGCTAAAATGCTGTTTCAAAATCTACTAAGAAATGTCTATAAGCTGGGCAAGACATATGACAAAGGTGGACAAGAAGAAATGAGATTTCTAGTTTATTTGCGGTGTGCTTTTCTTTCGAAGTTTACTAATATTGTTTTCCCTCTCTTTATTATCATCTTTGCAGAGTGCGATTGTGGTTGTTTGGACTCAGCGTCATCAACAAATTTGGTGGTGAACGGTGGCAATAAACCCTATCCAAACTATAGCAGTAATAACAGCAGCAGTACTGGCACTAAGAACCCCACCAAAAGAGAGTCGGCAACGACTGGCAAAGAAATCTGTGTTGGGGTCATAAGCAGCAGCACCAACGTGGCGTCCTCGGCGGTGGGCAGCAACAGCCTCAAGACGGCTCATACCAAAGTTGCAACATCTGGGGGCCATGCAAATACGCAGGCCCCCAGTAAACGCTCTAGCAGTGGGGCAGACGGTGACTATCAGCTGGTACAACACGAAGTACTCTATTCACTATCCGCCGAATATGAGGTAAGCCTTTGATTTCGATTTGTTTTGAAAGCAATTAACCCATATGATGTTTTCGTTTTAGGTTTTGGAATTTTTGGGTCGTGGCACATTTGGTCAAGTGGTAAAATGTTGGAAGCGTGGCACCTCGGAAATTGTTGCTATAAAAATTCTTAAAAATCATCCCTCATATGCTCGACAGGGTCAAATTGAAGTGTCGATATTGTCGCGTTTAAGCCAAGAAAATGCTGACGAGTTCAATTTTGTGCGTGCTTTTGAGTGTTTTCAACACAAGAATCATACCTGTCTGGTATTCGAAATGCTCGAACAGAATTTGTATGATTTCTTGAAACAAAATAAATTCTCACCTTTACCTCTTAAGTACATAAGGCCCATATTGGAACAGGTTAGTGAGCAAGAAAACATATCGGCCAGAGCAACTTCACCAAATAAATTTTCGCTATTACTTCCAATTTCAGGTTTTAACAGCTTTATTAAAACTTAAGCAATTAGGTTTAATTCATGCCGATTTGAAACCCGAAAACATAATGTTGGTAGATCCAGTAAGACAACCCTATAGGTAAAAGATGAAAGAAATATTGTGATTAGTTCCAAATTTAATTTAAAAATTTTCTTTCGACAGAGTAAAAGTCATTGACTTTGGTAGTGCTTCACATGTCAGTAAAACAGTTTGCAATACATATTTGCAATCACGTTACTATCGCGCCCCGGAAATCATTTTGGGTTTACCATTCTGTGAAGCCATTGATATGTGGTCATTGGGCTGTGTTGTTGCCGAGCTATTCTTAGGTTGGCCTTTGTATCCGGGATCATCGGAATTCGATCAAATCAGATACATATCACAAACTCAAGGTTTACCCACTGAACATATGCTGAATAGCGCCTCAAAGACATCGAAATTCTTTTATCGTGATACGGATTCAACGTATCCTTTTTGGCGTTTAAAGACCATAGAGGAACATGAGGCTGAAACAAATACCAAAAGTAAAGAGGCAAGAAAATACATTTTCAATTGTCTAGATGATATTGGCCAGGTGAATGTGCCCACAGATCTTGAAGGTGGCCAATTGTTGGCAGAGAAAACAGATCGTCGTGAATTCATTGATCTGCTGAAGCGCATGTTAACCATCGACCAGGAAAGACGTTTATCACCTGCAGATGCATTAAATCATTCGTTCACCAGACTTACCCATCTGGTGGACTATGTCTACTGTAATAATGTTAAGGCCTCGGTACAAATGATGGAAGTTTGTCGAAGAGGCGACTATCATCCGTAAGTTGAGCAAAAAAAGCATATCGAATGTGGTTTTATTTTAATAATTTGTCCTTCTGCAGTGTACAACCCACCTCCACATTGGTTACAAATTTCGTTCCCAGTACATCGGAAAATATGACATTTACCATTAACAATCAGCTAACAAGTCAGGTTCAACGTCTGGTACGCGAACGTCCACTGGCTTATGAGGGTCTCTATCAAATCTATGGCGGACGCAATGTTGGACGTCAATATGCCCAGGGACGCACGGATACCTTCCAACATCAATTGGTATCGAACATATTGTGTCCGCCCTCCTATCAGGCAATGCCAAGTCCCACCAAACATGTTGTGGTTGGCAGTGCAACGATGCAGCCGCCATTGCAGGTTAGTTTGCTTTACATTTTTGAATTTAAAAAATTACATCACTATTTTTTTTTAATAAAATAACAACAACGCTATACATACACAGTTCATCATAAAACGAAGTAGCAAGTGGCAATGATTTTACTTGGAAATTTAATTTGGAGTTCCATTTCATGACGTTGAGTGAAGAAATTCCCATTTTTGGTCATGGAAAAGATATTGTGTTGATTCCACTATGTGGACCAGATAAAACTCTTCTCACCATATGCGGCAAAAAATAATGGCTTGTGTGGGGAATATCTGACGATTTTTGATATATCTTTTTATTTTTATACTCAGATATAATTTAATTTAAAATAAAGAAATCAGGGGATTTTTTTATTATAAGTTGGAGGATGGCTCATCTCGCTAAATATTTTTAATAAAACTTTTTTGTATTTAATGATAGTATGGGCTGAATAAATGTTTATTTGCTTCAATTTATTTTTGAGTTGGCTTCGATACGTTCATATAGTGTTGTCTTTCATAAAAATGATTTTTTCTCTTTGTATTCACATCAATATTTCAACAAGCAATGTTTGTTTTGAGGATCCAAATCACTTTGTTTTAATGTAACCATCAGACGTATCTAATACAGAGATAAAAAAGTGCAATAGAGTCAATCGTCATAATTTTTACATTTTTTTAAATTTTATTGAATGAAAGCAAAAATGTCGGAAATAACATCAAATTTTAGAATAAGTTTATATTTTTTCGAATTGGTCACCTTTGGCAAGAATTATGGCCAATGAAGCCATTCCCGGGGAAGCGCTTGCTTGAGGTGATCGACACTTTGGTATTTTTTAGTGCCAACCTTGTTTTCCAAAATACTCCAGACACAATTGTACAACGGATTGGTATCCGGCTTTAATACACCCTCCCAAGGCTTTAATACACCCTCCAGAATATTTTCGCGATAATATTCGGTATTTATTCTGACGCCAAGGTCGATTAATACGAGCGAAGAGTACGTGCCTGCGCTTGAGTTCTGGTGGCCAACCGAAAGTGGACATTTTCAACTGACCTTACTTGCCAAAGAGGTTTAAACTCTTTGGTCATTTTGTTTGTTTACAAACTCCTGGACAACGAATGTTTTCTCATCGGAGAAACCCAAATTCGGCAGTTTACAACTTTCGACCGAGCGAAGCAACTCTTTAGCTCTTTTCGGTCTTTTTTCTTTCTGTTGCGGTGTAAATTCGTGCACTTTTTGGAATTTCAATGGCTTTACCCCGAGCTCATTTTTAAATATTGCCAAATGGAATACTGCGCTATGTTCAGCTCACGAGCCATTTAAATGCTGGAGTGCTCTAACGATAGCCACTTTTGGTTTTCCAGCCAAATATAAAGAAATCACACTATCACGCTTGAATTCCATCACGAATAACTTTTTTTCTGGAAAATTCTAACCAAAATGCTTGTGTACGCTTGTAAACAGTATAATGAGCAGTTACTGAAATAATTTTAACAGTGGCTTAGAAATGACAGCAGTCTGAAGTTGGTTGCAGTTTTTCCATCTCACCCTGTATATTGCATTCACTGTCTCTTGAAACCGAGTCAAAATCCGTCATCGTATAGCAATTGAATTATGTTGCAAGAGCAGTTTTAATTCGTTCATTACATTCAATGGCACACAATCTTAGCAATTCTAATCGGAGTCTTGGTTCCTTTTTAATAAGAAAATGGATTATTAATTTTAGTTTAATTAAATCGTTGATACCGTACCATAACATTCGGTCAAATATATTTTCATTGATGGAATCGGCAGGCCAACATTTTTAGCTGCGAAACATAAAGCAAAAAATCGAAATCAAATGTCTTCGCAACGAATAGGTTAATAATTATGAACGTATTCTCGAATCAACCATGAATCAATAAATCCAAGAGCTGTGGATAATTAGGTATAAACAATCATATGACAAAAATCATTCTAGACATTTTTCTGAGTTTCAGAACGGTTTTCATTTTTCTATCTTTTGATTTCTTAGATTATGATTATGTTGAATTAATTTTTAGAGACTAAACTAATTATTTTTGCTCTTATGCCTATATTTTCCCATCCTCCAGTTAAAAGAATTTGAGCTTGCCAGTTGTCTCCAATAATGGAAAATAACCATCAAATTTTAATACAAAACACTTTTCTCTCAAAAATGCCATCGGTTTGAACTGTGTATTCATTTGAGTTGTTCTTTTCCATTTGTTTTTTCTTTTAATTATAATTTTACATTTTGAATTTTCTGTTTGTTCATATTCTATTATCATTGATCAATTTAAGTTCACTTCACAGCAATATGTCAATGTTCCCGTACCAGTGTCAATGGTTGAACCAACATCTGGCCAACGTATGCTGCTAACAAACCGTGTACAGGCCAGCGGTGTAGCCTGGCCACAAACAAGCCGTCAAATGGCTTTGGTACCATCTTGGCCACAACAGGCGCCGGCTCATTCGCTAATTGTTGATCCAGCACCATTTTTAAATGTTGAGGAAATCTATCCCAAACATTTGAATATACCTCGTAATGATCTCAAAAAGGAATCACCTGTACATCACTTAGTGTAAGTGGCGGAAACCAACCTCCCATTGAGGCTTAATTATTAATTTTGACTTTTTCGTTTCCAATAAATTTACAGAAGCAAGGGTAATTCCTATCGTGTGCCACGCCATGACAAAAAAGAAAATCAACAATTGTCACCCGTCAAAAAGAGGGTCAAGGAAAGTTCTCCACCCCACCAACAACGCTACAATCGTACGTCTCACGTATCGCCACAATTTCATAATAGCCATCACAATTGTAATTATGGCAGCAGTAGTGGTAGTAGCTATGGTGGCCAAGCAGTGGGCGGTGCTGTGGTTGCATCAGCCTCTTCGAGCAGTAAGTTCTTGTTGTTGTCCTTCTGTGAAAACTGTTATTTTCATAAATTTGCAACTTTTCTAATTGCAGACATTGTCAGTCACCATAATCACGGTTCTTCGTCTAATCAATCGCATGTTATCAGCACAAATCCTGTTTATGGCAGCAGCGGCAGCCATCACATTGTTAATAACTGTGGTGCAGTTAGTGGTTCTTCGGGCAACAGCAGCAGCACTGGTGGCTATCATCACCATTCGTCTTCATCGTCTGGTGGAGGACATCACATTTCGTCCCATCACAGCCAACAACCTCAACATGCACATCAACATCACGGTGCAATTGTCAAACAGCAGACAATTACTATACACGACACTCCATCGCCGTCTGCTGTTATAACGATTTCGGATAGTGAAGATGAAGGCAACGATGCACCAACAGCAGCACCATCCTCAAATGTGGCACCTGGAAAGCAAAGAGCACATGCCCAATCACAGACGACATCGTCAATGTTGCAACATTCAGCATCTTCTTCTTCGTTGGGAGGCTGCCGCAATAGTGGTCATCAACATGGACATTCGCATCAACAAAGTCAGAGCCAACAACAACAGCAAATGCATCATCAACAGCAACAAACATATGGTAAATTATTTTTATTTTTCCCACCTCTGAATCTAAGAACATTTTAAGTGCTTATGTTGGGAAACCAGAATGATAATGTGATTAGAAATTCGTTTCCCAACATCAGTTGTGATATTTAAATTCACATGGATGGATGTGGCAAAAAGCGGAGTTGGTGTTTCTTTATTCAAAATTGTTTTCACAAAAATAATTGGTCTAAGAAAACGACGTATTCGGTTTTAAATGGTTTTTGTTATTTTTTAACTGTGTCTCGATGTGTCTTATTTCCACAGATAAATCAAATTCTAATGTTCATTCCTTAAATTTGTTATTAGCTCAAACATCAGCAAACAATTCCTCAAACCAAAATAAGTTTCAACATTATCAACAAGCGATGAATATTAACCATACTCATCAAACGCTATCACATCAGTCTCAACCACAACCACAACAACAACAGCAGCATCAACAACAGCAAACAACGCAGCATCAACAAACGCAACAACAACATCAACAAATGTCCCATAATGTTGCGGCTGCCGTTAAGAATAGTTCAAGTAATGCTTCTTCTTCTAACAATAACAATATCAACTCAAATAGTTCCAATCATAACCATAACCATCACCATCATATTACTACTACTACTACTACTAATAATAATAATAATAATGCTGGCAACAACATTAGCTTTGATCACCCCAGTAAAAGCACAGCTAACTCGAATAGCAGCAAAACGATTGCATCGAATACCACAAATCATTTTTCTTCCTCCACAAAAACCTCATCGTCGACCAGTAATAGTAATAACAATAACAGTAGTAGCAATGAATTTGACGTTGGCGGAAGTGGAACCGGATGTGGGTCTGGATTTGTTAATTTCTCAGAATCCGGTTGTCATAACACTTCGTCTCACAGCAGTAGTCAGCATAATCAGCAACAACACAATTCGAGTGCTAATTCGAACGAAGCGAAACATCAAATTACATGTGGTGGCCTATTTCACTCCTCCTCTTCCAATACCAAATCTGTTTCCACTTCCATTCAACACAATTCTCACAACAATAGCCATAATAATCAATCAAATCATAAGCATTCTACCTCTAATCTTTTGTACGGTGGTGGCGGCGGTAGTAGTAGCAATCACAGTGTTGTTGTTGCTTCTTCATCGTCCTCATCGACTTGTGTCCCCAATTCGACAAATTCTAATACAAATTTTTCAATATCCTCTAATCTATTTGCCACGTCCACCACGTCCTCTAATTCCTCACAACAACAACAACATTCCCAACATAACCAAATCCACCCTAATAACTCCTCATCCTCCTCTGCCTCATCCATAACCAACCACCATCGTTCTAAACATGTACAACTAGTAATACCATGCGTAACCGTAGGTGACAACGATCACGATGAGATGCGTCGTCGCCATCCCAACAACGGCGGTCACAATAACAGCACCAATACTGTACATGCAGCTAGCAACAGCCCCAAACAACATCAACCACAGCAACAGACGCCCACTTATCCGACCACAACAAATGTGAAATATGAACCTGGTCAATCACAGAAGAAACGCATATTGGCAATGGCTCAAAATGAATGTTATATGCCCACATCGCACTCCAGCACTAATAGCAGTTCACAGACCCAGTCGCAGGTCTCAAATAGCTTACCTCACCTACCCACCAAACAGGAACCCGTGGAATTCTACGATTATCCTGCTCATCAACAACAGCAAATTGACAATAAGCGTTCCTCATGGGCAGCCGCCAATTCCTCGTGTGGCAGTGGTTCTCAACATCAAACTTCATCATCGTCGTCATCTGCTGTTCCACCATTGGCACATCATAAGCGTGAAGCTCCTTCAGCTGCACCTTCCTCAGCCGGTGGTAACTACGTGCAGCAACCTACATCTTCGGGTGCATCCGTTGTTCATCCTCCAATGGCACATTCGAAGAGTTCGTCATCATCGTCGTCGGCCGCTGCGGCAGCCGCCGCTGCTGTTGGTCCACCCTCATGGGGTGCGACACAAGTCTATCGTCAACCATCACAGAGTTCCCAACTGCAGCAAGCATCTTCTGGTAGTGGTCAGCCACACCAAGGTAATACAACAACTCCGATGGGTAATTCGCCCTCATCGGCGGCAGCTGCAGCAGCTATATTGCAGCAGGATATTTATGCAGCTGCTGCTGTACAGGGTGATATGTACCGTCGCCCAACGGTATTTGTTTCACAAGCAGCGCCCACATACGCCTACAATCGAGCTGTAGTTGCTCCACCTCCAGCTCATAATAGTTCAAGTCGACAGGTAAGTTATGGCCACATAAATATATTAAAGAGCTTATAAATTGGAGTCTTTTTTATAATCGAGAATATCTAAGTGTGTAAATCTGATTGAAACTAAATTAACTGATGCGGGCATTGCTCGCATACTGAACATAAACTTAATGCATATAGATAGAAAACAAATTAAGAATAATAACTATATAGAAAACTTGAAAGATTGAGGTATAAAGTATTGAAGTTTTTTAGTATGTTACAAGCCTATGATTGCAAATTACAGGTGATTGAGAAATCGAGTCGCAAAATAATGATATTTATTCATTATACCCTCAGGCATATCATATGATACGGCCAAAACGTGCCTCATAGAAATAACGGTCTCTTCGGACCAAATCCATTTCAGGGTATTTGGAGTCGATCTAGCGATATCTTTCCCTCCGTCTGTCTGGCTGGCTTGTGGGCATGATAACTCTCGAAACGAGTATCCGATTTGATCCAAACTTAGTACATCGTAATATTATTATCAAACTTAGATCGAGTTCGGAGATGGACAATATCGGTCCACTCCTTCTGGTACCTCCCCCAACAAATGTCAAAATTTCCAAACAAAATTTACTGCACAGATATAGAAGGGATAATCCGATTTTGCTCCAACTTTGCAAATCCTAATATTTGCATCAGTGCTAGGTGAGGTGCGAAAATGACTCATATCAGACCACTCAATCAAGTACCTCCCCCACAAAGGGCCAACGTTTTGAATAACCAAAACGATAATAAAAACCGAAATAAGCATCCGGTTCTCTTCAAACTACACAAATCACAATATTTTATTAATCCAAGGTTTGGTGTAAAAATGGGATATACTGGTCCACCCCTTCTAGTACCTCTCCACAAAGGGTCAAAATTTTGAATGTCCACAAAGATCATAAAACGAGAAATTAGCATCCGATTCCATTTAGACTTGGTAGATCTCAATATCGCACCATTTCTTGCGGTACCTCCCCCACATAGGGTTCATGATTTTGAAAAACAAAACACTCACGGAAAACCAAATAAGCTTCCAACTCCCTTCAAATTTCACACATACCAACATTTTGCCCACAAAGGGTCACAATGTCCAATACTTATATCTGTAATAACTTGCGAAACAAATCAGTGATTCTTTAAAAATCGTTTTATCTAAATATTTCTCTCAACCATAAACCTAAGATGAATGTGGAATTTATAATTTCGCATAAAATTGATTATTCATAACAAAAATCAACTGTGCTTTTTCTTGATATCAAGAATAAATATATGAGCTTTGTACGGTTCAGAATGTTGCTTAAGTATAAAGAGTTAACAACAGGTCGAAAATGTCAGCAACACAGATTGATGATTTATGTTGCTGCATGAACTTTCAAATAGGTTATATTTTCGACGTCAGGATAAATCGGCATAACACACGAAATGTGTGTAACTCACATCAATTCTGTCTATCCTAAATTATTTAATATTTATTTACTATAATTTTCTTCTACAGGTTATACCATCACATCCCTTGCCCGCTCACATACAATTCCCAACGCAGTACGGTCAATTTGCTCCCCTAAGTCCAGCTCAGGTAGCCGCCAGCAAACATGCACATTACGCACCGACGAATATATGGTATGGGGGCGAATAAATACTGATTTAAACATAACGAGTGAGTCAACAACAACAACAATAATATCTACAACAACTATCTATGAAAAATGCAATTTAAAATATATTCTTACAAACTAAAAGCATTTTTTATTGAAAATGAAGAACTTTTTAATAATGTGATTTCTTATCTCTTCCTCTTCCAAATCCTTTCCATATATCCTTTACAATCAAATTCCCACGATGTCTTCAATTTAATTTTATATATAGATCGTTCATGCATGATTGCAAGCAGCTAACAACAAATTTTCAAACTACACCCAACAACAACACCAAGATGACGATGATGAAAGAGAAGACGATTAAAGAAAACTTGTCGATTAGAAGTAATGATGAAGATGGTGACAACGATGAAGGTGGCGATGATATAAAAACTGAACAAATCGATGAGTGCAATCATAATTTAATGACGACAACGACAGCTGCAGTAAAATCCAAGGATATACAAAATTCCCATTTCAATCAATGGTGGTTTTTAATGATGCAACAAACAATTTATAATATTCAAACACAACAACAGCAGCAGCATGTGCATCATGATCCATCTGTACCCGCGCCACCACCACCACTAAACTCTTTACCATTTAACAGTCCAATAGTGCACAATTATTTCGCCAATAATGATAAAACATTGATGATGACCACCGAAGCTAATGCAACGGCGGCCGCAGTTGCCTCAAATAGTTTTAATGCATCGAATTTAACAGAACCATCAAACGGAGATAATAGAAAAGCAGTAATGGCAACTGCAGCTGCCGGCACTGCTGCTGCAATAACATCGCTGGGACAGTTATCCATGGATGAACAGCAGCCATACCAACCGCTAAGCACTCTCTATGGAAATTTCGATTATTTGACAAATAACTTGTGTCATTTCTATAAAATGTTCAAAGAACATAAACTGCAACATCAAAAGCAACAACAACGTTCACGCATAAAACGTACGCGTTTTTAAGGTTACTACCACCTACCATTAGTTCTAACACAAAGATTACTAAAAATATCCACTTATATTTTATATTTCTTTTTGTATCATTATCTATTTTCCCCATATTTCTACGTATCCAATTATTTAATATATATCTATTTTTTACTTAGAACTTGTTTCAACACAATTATATATAATATGAATATTTCATTGATTGCTACAAACCAAACGGTATGTAGAATATGACAACAGAACAGATCAACAATATTTTACTATTGTGTCGATACTAGCATGATCTTTTTGTATGTCACATTGCTAAAGAAAAATCCTAAAAACAAACCACTTATTATTTTCTTATACAATTTCCTTTTTTATGCTTTATACATAACTACTTGTAAATATTTATTCTTAATATTAGTAACACACAATTAACCAACAGCAAGAAAATCCCTGTTTTTCTAGAAGTCCTTTGTGGTGGCGGGGATATTAACAAATCGCATTTCTTTGTGTCGTCTAGAAGTTAAGGGCAAAAACGAAGCTTCTTGCTTGTTTTTTTTTTTTCGTTTTGAATGGATTATTGTAAACGTAAAAACAAAAAACGTTCACATAGAATGGTGTAAAAGTAAAGTTATCAATACTCTTGTCTTCTCCTAGTCCAATGGAGAAGAAAGAAATATATGATATTTTTTAAATGGTGAATTTGAATGAAATGCTATTATACTTCTGTTGTAATGTATTTTCACGGAGGATCTGTAATTTCCTTTAAATATTCTTTTACCCACCAGACAATTTATAAAAAAAATTATGTGTATTTATATTTTTTGATATTCTGGAATATAGGCATGATTAAATTTATTTTGATATTAGTGGCATGTTTTATATTTTTTCCACGAAAAATAGTATTTCCAAAATTATTTAACAACCTTTAAGAACAACAAGTAGACTTTTTGTAAGTGTATTTAATCTTCGAGAGCATAGCATGTTATAGATTAAATGTGAGAAACTACTGAACGTCATAAATCCCTAACTTGGAAACCGAAAACGCATAGACAATTATATTTTCCATTTCTCCTGCTGGAAAATTTCTAATCACAGAATTAGGTTTTTGACAAAGAAATAACATACGTAGGAATTTGTGATTATTGAGATAACATAGTAGCCGATTTCTTCCATAGTAATGGAAAATTTATTTGATAGAATTTTATACTTCACAATTAACAAAATTAAAAAATCATTAAATTAAAAGTAAATTCCATGATATCTAAAAGCCTATAATTCCTTTTTCCTTTGGCGAAAAAGAAATTTTTAAATTGGAATTTTCCTTGAATATATAAACTTTAAAATAATCTTCTCTGTGATCAGCGTTCTTATTGGGGATTATTAACATCCCATGGGAAATTACAGATCCTTGAAAATAAATTTCATTCAAAGAAAACGGGCCATAATGTTATTAATGATGATCATAATGTCGAAAGCAAAACAATGATGCGTTAATGGCATACTTTTTCTTTAAATAGACAAACAAATCATATTAAATAAAAATCGTTAGAGTTTCATGATGGTGTTGTATCAACGTATTAACTATTAATTAATATTCAATGAACTATAAAAAATATATGTATTCTAATTGCCACATATAACAAGTAATACACACACCCACATTATTGGAAACCACACTTCCTTGAAGATAAAACAACAAAATAAAGAAAATACAAGAGAAAAGAAAAACTAGAATTTAGAGTACCTAATTCAAATAAAAATGTAATATGTTGATAATTATAATGGCATATAAAAAAAGAACGGCTTATGATACAAGAAAATAATTTCAAGGGAAAAGAAAAAAATACAATATTAAATGCACACCCACAACACAAATGAATATTTAAACGATTTGTAAAATGTGGTCATACGTAATACCACTCACACGTATGGTTATTTTTTAACTGAAAAGAAAACTTTCTCTATTTTTTTTTGTTTTAAAGAACAAAATTTGATTGTTCAATGCACTAAATAAGTTATATTATTTTTCTCCATAACTAATAGATTTAAGTCAAATTTTATTATGTTTTTTCTTCGATATCCCCTTTTATAATTAAAGGTGTTTCTTTTTTGTAAATTATTCACATAAGGAAATATATTATTTAGTTTATAATTTCTAATATTATGCCTTTTATTCAACCTCTCTCACTTGCAACTAATTGTATACAAACTATATATGTATAGAAACTTAAATCATACTAAAACCATACAAACAAACTATTATATTATAACGTAATAATAATAATACAAATACACCAACAAATCGTAGTTGTACCTTATAAATATTAAATGAAAAAAAAAACCCAAACAAATAATTCTTATTTGTTTTTTTTTCTATCTATCTATCCTTTTTTGTATGCATTGTAAACTAAGGATTAATATATGTAACAAAACACAACAAAAATAATTATAAATTTTATAACTTTTATTACTATTATGATTATTTTTCTACAATGCCCTCTTTTTAGAAAAACAAAAGAAAAACACCTAATATTACACCCAGTTGAAAATAACAAATGCTTAACATTAATAATATGTTTTAGTTTTTTATGCAAGACAATACAATAATTGTATATTTATATATAGCGTTTTATTATTTCCTACCTTAAATTTAAGCCTAAACAAAACCTCATAAATACAAATCAGTTGAAATTTTAATTATTTGTTTCTTTTACTATTATAGTTGTCCTTTTTTTTTGAAAATGCAACTCAAATGCATATTCTTATACGTACATAAAACAAATTAATAATTTGGTTTTTTGCAATTGTATGCAATAAAAAGCTTTCATTAACTTTTAATGTTAATTATCACTAAAACACAAATCAATAAAATAACTTAGTTTTTAGTGGAACTTATATATATTATCAAATGATTTATTAATTCTTATTATATTTTACATTTTAATTAATAATTCTAAAAATATTATTATTATTATTATTATTTTTTTTTTTTTGATTTAATGCTTATACTTTGCTTAAGACAATTGAATTTATTTCTTTTGTTCAAAACGTAAAGGATTCAAATTTTGAATCATTTGAAATGGATTGCACCTGGTAACGATTTGGTACTATTGTTCTTGTCATTAGAAAGCCAAAAATAACCATCGCAAAATTATGCAGTGAGCTAGGTGTATACTTGTGTGAAAGTACAAATGTTCACAATAGCTGAGCCATCGATTTTTAATCTGTGCACAAATAAAACAAACTTCCATGTAGTTCAATACTTACATAGCGGACATGTATTTTACATTGATACTAAGCGATGGGATTGTTATATTTGAATTATAATTTTTACTTGCTTTTCTCAAAAGAGTATTTTTGAAAACGGAGTAATGTTAAAAAAATGTACACTTACCAATTAAAAGTAAATTAATTTATGCGATTTGGATTTGTAATGCAATGTTTCGTTTATCTTTTACTGGTAATAGCAATATTCACATTTAAATAGCAAAAGAAGGCGATATGAATCTTATGTTTAAACAAGTTATTAGTTTGTTATTTACTTTTTTAAATAAAATCCAAAAAAATCCGACTGTAAGATCAAAATTATTTAATAGTTCCAATGGTATCGTAAAACAATACGCCTCTTTTATACGATCTACATGACTATGATATTTGAGACATTAGTGTTGTCGATGCTCTCTTCACTGCATAGTTTTACAAATCCGATGTTTATGTATTTTTAAATTTTCAAATCTGAAGTACGGGAAATGTGGTTTGCCACAATATTTTTTACCCATTTCTTAATATTTATGAGAAAACGGGTAAAAAACTTTATCTTTATCTTTCGTTTCGTGTTGTTTAAAGCTTTGTATGTTTTTGGTCCCACATAAGAGGAAAAGTGAAAGTATAAACTATTTTGTTACTTTTGGCCTTTTAATCTATTATAAATAATAAATTTGATGATATAAAATAATTTTCTCCCATACTTTTGATTTGAAATATTGTTTCTAGTGACATAGATTGCGAATAATGCTTAATAGCCAATATCAATATCAGTGACAAAATACAATATATGATTTTTGAAGTCAATTCATAATGACAAATTTTTTTTGAGCTTCTTTTTTTCCATGTGAAATCCATTGCAAGATCTTTAGGTATTTTGAAACGGATTATTATTATGTATTAAATTTATATTTTCATAACAATAAAATTTAATGAATGGTTTCTCTTTATCACTTTTTGCAAAAGAATTTTTGTGTTATTTTTTTTTTTCAAAAATATTTATATATATTTGTATACTTTTCCCCATTAGGGGGATTATCTCACTTACAAGAGACAACAATAACAAATATTTGGTTATGGAAAACGGCGATATACATATAAAATAAACAAACAAAATAATTAAATAATACTTAGCTTATAATTATTGTGATGTAGTTTGTAATTAAATTAATATATTAATATAAACAAAGCAAATATAAAAAACAAACAAATATTAGGTGAAAAAGAACAATATTATTGATTATATTAACATAATTATTACAACAAAATATATATTATTTCAATGTTTTTACTAAATGTACTACAAAACAAAATAAAGATCTTTCTAAACAAAACAATAATGAAAAAGAATATACTATGTTTTTATTATTAAAATACATTACAACATGCTAAGAACAAAACTTTTTAAAGCAGTTAACTGGGAAATACAAAATTAAAAATATTAAAAAAACAACAACAACTAAGTTTAAGAAAAGAAAACAAAAATACATTTTTTACAACAACATTAAAACAAGAACTAAGCAACAATACAAACAACAAAACATTATGTGTGTATTTTTTTAAACAAGGTAAAATACAAAAAATTAAAAATATATATATTTGAAAAAATAAAATTACCACAAAATATTTCGCAATTTTAGAAAAAAAGAAGAAATAAACTTGATTAAGTTAATTTGTATAAGCCAAAAACAAATATATATTTTAAATATGTTAGGCAATAACAAACAGATGCGTATATGAGGGTAATATGTAATAGAACAAAATTAAAGCTAAAACAACAAAATACAAAACTATAATAAAAAATATATACATTTACAAAACAAAAATACACAGAAATTATTATATATATAAAAAAATATCTCTTAATAATAAAACCAAACTATAAACATTAAAGTGTTGTGAAATATAAGAACTTTTTCTTAAATATTTTTTTCCTTTATTACTTTCTTTTCTTCGTGAATAAATGTTTATGAAACATGCAATGCATTATAATATATTATATTTATATATATAAAATACATGTATGTATCTATCTAGAGGATAAAGGTAGCAATTTGCACATTAAACAAACACACATAAAAAAGGACATATTTGTGAAGAGAGTTCATACATTCGTATCATTTTCCTTAACATATTTGCGAATATGTGTTTGTTTCCCATTTTTTTTTCTATAGATTCACTTCCAAAACGTCAAGGGGCTTTGTATACAAACTTAGTATTGTGGTCCAAAATTTATGCAAAGTATTCAATTTCGAAATGCCTTCGTTGGGTATTTTTAATGCAGTATATCCAACAAGCCGAGTCGATGCTTTGTCTGAGATACTGCATAAATTTACGATTCATATACTAAAGCAATATCTGAACAAGGACTTTGTCGTAATGCGTTTTGGAAGTAAGCCATAATGTGATGCAAAAAGAATCGATGCGGTTTGATGTGGAATAATGTTGTAAAATAAACATTTGTTTAAGTGGAGTATAAATGATGATCCAACGCAACATCATCATATTTTTAAACTTAAATATATGTTGCGCAAACATTCGAAAAATGTGGAGTATTAAATGGCTAATGCATTGAACGGGTAAGTATTAAGGTGCAAGTACATAAAAAGCTTGAAGTCATGGCTAGGCTTATTAATGTCAAATTATAATGGCAATCGACAGCAGAATTTTAGTGCGGCTCTGTAATCCCTTTATAAAAAGTCACAAAATATGCCTAGCCATGACTTCAAGCTTTTTATGTACTTGCACCTTAATACTTACCCGTTCAATGCATTAACCATTTAATACTCCATATTTTTCGAATGTTTGCGCAACATATATTTTATAGCATCTGAAGAATGTGTTGCGAAAAGGCCCTTACCACAGATCGCATCGATACGATGAACATCAAATTATTGGGAGACATTAAATAGCTTTTTTTTGGAATTGGTGGTTTTCATTGGTCTTTGGTGTAGCAATATCCAAAATGGTGTTAAGCATACTTCTAAGTATAATCTAATTTCATTATGGTTTCCTACACCGCAGATGGGAGGCCAGTTTTTAAATATTATTCTAATTGTGTATTTATTCGCTTATGATCATAAAATTTATAGATTCTTTATTTTGAAATTATTCTAAAATTATTAATGTGTATGATAGGGCATTCAACATGGCATGGATATAGACGTTTTCCCACAAACTTTAATCCATACCTAGTTAAGTTCCCACTTAGTCGTAGTGTTGGCTCCCTACTTAAAGATAGAAATGATTCACCATTTCCAATAAACCAATGCTAAATTCTAATTAAAAATTAATTCTAACTTAATCAAGTTGCTAGTGTTGCTCATTGGAGTCAGAGCTTTTTCCTAGTTGAAAAAACCAATAACTTGTCTGAAATTAGCCAGTGTTAAAGTCCTCCTCTCCTCTAAACCTCTAAACTTTTCTGACAATGATTATATGAGATCTGGTAAATGAAGAATCGTTTTTGGTTGGACTAAAATTTCATCCAGCTTCAACCCCGCATTAGCAGAACAAAACAAATGCATGCACACTCATGAACACTAAATAAATAAAAAATTACTAACACACACAAAGCTGTGTATACGTATTCACAATTTAAGACAGTTTCATTAGTCTCGTGTGTTTTGGAAAGAAAAATTTAGTTTGGACTAAAAATTACTCTCGTGTGAATTGGGCCATTGACATTCTTTGTATATATTTGTTGAAGGCTTTGCATTGTCTACGGAGAAGATCATAGCATGGCTTTGAAATGATTTTTATTTCCCAATTTTTTTTAAATATTTTCCAAATGGAAATTTAAAAATGTAAGTGAGCTAGGTAAGGTTAGGTTAAAGGACGCGCGGTTGCCGTTTGATAACCGCTCCACTCGGAGACCTACTCGTCCATTGTGTTCATCCTAGAAAAAATAGTAAAATAAAGGAAAGGGTGATGGAAGAGAGTAAAGATAGAAGATAGAATTATAGAGTGTGATCTACGGCTAAAAAAGTTGCCGTGTCGTCTTTAGCCACTTGAGTCTTCTGGCTAACTGAAGAATTACTGTAGCGTCAGTGTTAAAAAAATAAGACTGAGCATGTGACACTAGTTCGCCAACCAACCTGTGTCTCACGGTAATGAGTGCTGACAGAGCAAGTGTTCGGCTGTCTCAATTTCTTCTTCATCTTAACAGATCCTACAGTAATCAATGTCATCGCTATCCCATTTCGAGGTCATTGCCCTTACCTTACAGTGACCTGTGATGATACCCACCACAAGTTTTAAATCAGGTTTCACCAATATGTTGAAAGCCCTATCCTATTAATAGTTTCGTATTGTCCTCTCTATTTTCTGTAAGAAATTAATTCAACAGATATTATATGAAAATAACCACCTTTTAGTTTTTTAAAAAAAAAACACCATTCACAAAACATCGAAAATGTTTGAAATACTTTTGTTTTTGATGTATTAAAAAAAAATTAACATTTTGTAACTTAAAAAATTAAATGAAACCAACTACACAGAAAAAATAAATGCAAACAAGAGACATAACAACAAAAGAATTAAAGACTGCTAAATCTTTGCAGCACTAGTTGTAATTTGATAAACAAAATTATTAAAAAATATAACAAATACAAAAAAATAACTAAATTTTAAGAAAGTTTAAAAGTGTTTTATAGAAATTTATGGACCATACCTAAAGCAAACAACAAATATAGAAGACAAAATAAATACGAAAACATTTAAACAAATAACAATATTATTTCACAACTGTAAGACAAACAACAACAATTATAAATTAAAACAATGAAACGTTTCAAATCTTAACTGAAGACAAAAAAACACAAACTATTTATATTCTAAAAACAAAAAATATCCAAGTTAAATGTGGCAACAACAATACAACAGCAACACAAAAATGCTTTAGTTGTTAGTTAGTAAGCAAACCAAACAGAAATAGATAAACAATTTTATGTTTCCAACTTTTAAGAGCCACACATTAAAATTAATTAATACATATTTTAGATTTAAACCATGTGAAAAAAAAAACTTTTACAAACACATACTAATTCTACAAGCAACAACATTATTATTATTTTTTTATAATAATATTTCATTTGAAATATCTTAAAGCAAAAATATTGTTTTTCGCGGCGAAATATCAACCAAAACCAATGCCTATTATATCCTTTAATATCTACCTAAAATTTATAAATTTAATGTGAATATATTTGTCCTATCGGCAACAAAACAATAACAATATATAAATATGTTTATCACCAACATAAATGTATACCGTTTCTTTGAATATATTTTAGTTTATATTTTTCTATGTTTATTAATTGTTTAATTTCTTTTCTAAATGTTTTAGTTTTTAGTGTTTATTATAACAACAAAAATACAAATATATAATACACAATTACATATTATACCCTGCTATGATTGAAAAAATTAATTAACTCTAATTGTTTTATTTCATCAAAATTGGGTTTGTTTTTATTATTTTTAAATTTTAAAATGATCTTTTTCCATTTGATGTGGTATATGTTGAACGAGAAAACTATTTAAAATCGAGAATATCGCTTACTCAGGAGAACAAACTTCTCACATTGTCATAGACTCCTTGTAAACCATGGATTCCAGACCGTTGACATGCACCTTCAGAAATGTTTCCTTATCTCTGCCCAGGGAAGTGTGTTTTGGGGACAGATATGCATATCTGTCTTTTTTGATTAATATAAGAGGCGTGTAACAAGAAGCAGAGGGGATTGATTATCTCCATATTATAAGGCTATGTACTGTGTGTACACCATACAGATAAAATTGTCGAAGGATATTTTATAAGGGTTAATTAATCTGGTAATTGCCGTAATAGGCAGTTGTGAGTATTAAAGATGGGATAAATAGGTAAAGAGATCCGCTTGTTTGTACTCCAATTTCAGTTTAGTTATCTGGTCTCGGAATTCGAAGAATACTTTACTACCATTAAAAAATATAATGCAAGTTGTTAGAATGGAATTCTTTATTTCGGAAATAAGCATTGACTGACCGACCACATCGCTGTGTGAGACAATGGGCTAACTATAAAATGACTGGAGAGCTACGATATCCGTTATTTCTAAATATTCATTGTAGACCCCATAAAGTAAAAATATTCATGATCAGCATAAAATGGTTGGTATTGAAAATGAGATATATCGGTACACATTAGCCCCATATCGGTAACTCCTGATAATCGGTATTTTTAGTTACTTTTTGTTACGGATTTCTGCAAAAATTGACATGTATAATTCGTAACGGGTTCTGGCTTCGGTGGCGGAACATTGTCCACGCCTTCATATTGCCCCATGTAACTGTACCTCCCAATAATCGATATTTTGATGATTTTTGACACATTTTCCTATTTGTCTAAAATGTGGTAGTTTGTAATGGTAATGTAATTCTCTGCAAACTAACTGTTAAAATATAGAGATAGACACAACTTCCGTGCATGTTATAAATGATTTCAGATTCAGTACTCGAATTCTCCATTTGAAGCACCGTGATGTGTGCAGAAAATAGAGTGAATATTCCTAATTTGGAAAAGTTACTTCATTATTGGATTTAAAAAAATGTGAGTTGAAGATTTCAGCGTATTTAAAAGGGTATTTTTAGGGGTTTTAAAAAATTCTATAGTCAAGGGATATATTAACCTGAAAGTTCCACGAGAAAACCTGTGATTAATAATTCAAAAAATTGAAATACTACTGAACATGGTACAATAAAAAAGGTAAGGTGGAGCTACCAGCTGATTACATTTTTTTATAAGTGTGACCGATTTCTGCCCATTTTGTACATTTATTTATTGTTTTGAAAAATAATGAAAACAAAAATTCTAAATCAATTCATTCTTCGCGCAATTTCGCTAATTTTATGAAATGAGGAAAAATACGAAATAAATGTAAGCAACTTGTTGCATATAATTTTCAATATATCTGACAGGAAGCGGGCGTAGCCTCAGTTCTGTATTTCTGTAGTTTTGCGAACTGTTCTACAAATAAAGATGCATTCACACATGCAAAGTAAGGTCCCCGTACAACTGTTAAAAGGCTCTTTCGAGTTATGTAATTTTTAAAGAGTTAGTTTTATTTTGTTAAAGATTTAGCGCAATTTGATAATTTCATGGTACAATTAAGAAGGTAAAGTCATTCATCTCTGCATTTTCTTTAAAATTACTTTTTGTCAAATTTTACTACATAGAAAACAGGTTCTCATCTCTAATTTGTGTATGTAAAATGAAGCCATAAATATACATTTTGACAATGAGATGTTTGTATGTCTTTGGGGGCCTCTTATAGTGGACATTAAGTCGAAGCATTAGGCGTTTTCCTGGATCCGAATCAAAGTGGACTTTGGGTGAGTGACTGAAGTTGTATTGTGGCGAAGTTTGTTTACATTAATATAAATAAAAAAATGATGTATTACTCGAAGATACCTCTTTTATTGATTTTCAGTGGTGTTGCGTCTGACGTCCTCTGGGATCCATTGTAAGAGCATTCAGCTCTTGCTGGTTATCTTGTTTAATTTTTTAATTCAAAAGTAATGTACTAATTTCACCGCTTAGAGAACCGATTGTCCGTCGATAAAAATTCGTGTGTTGTTTGACTTTTTTTATACACTTAGTTCAAGACTAAATTGGACCTAACTGTAGATGAACTTATTTGTCAAAATACTTGAAAAACAAGTAAAAAAACATCAAGTTCGGCCGGGCCAAACTTTTAATACCCTCCACCTTAGGGTAAAAGAACATTAGAAGAAATGTGGCAAAAACCATTAAAATGCCGAATATAGGGAGGTACCGTTATATGGGGGCTACACCAACACGTGCACCTATAATTACAATGTTTCGCCACACGAACTGTTTTGCCACACGTACAGGGACCCGTTATGACCTACAAATACCAATTTTCAGATAAATCCGTGAAAAAATGTGGCATAAATCATCAAAATACCGAATATCGGGAGGTACCGTTATATGGGGACTGTACCAGGACGTGGACCGATATATCTCATTTTCAATACCAACCATCTTAGACACAATACAAATTGTTCTGCAAAATTTTGACGCTCTACGTCAAATAATGTGAGCGGTATCGTGATTTCAACAGACAGACAGACGGACATTGTTAAATCGACTTAGAATTTTATGCTGATTATGAATATATATACTTTGTGGGGTCTACAACGAATATTTAGGGATGTTACAAACGGAATGACAAAGCTAATATACCCTCCTCCCAAGGTCATGATCATATTCTAAATCTAAAAATAAACATTTTAAAATCGATAGTTTCCAAACGATAGAAACGGAAATAGATCTTTAAGAAAAATTGGTCAACTGTACCCCATAGTTTTTATGTGTTGCAAATGATAGATGTGCAAATATCAATATTTACTTTACAGCGTTACCTAAAATACGACGTACTCAGTCAACGTCTTCCGCCACACAAGTAAAAAACATAGGAAGGATTTTGAAAATTATCAATTTTTTCAAAGTTATTGGTTGGTAGATTTTAATATATGGGCCTGGCGTATTTGAGTCCTATAGTGGGGTAGATTAATATTTGTGTACGCTACTACATTAAAAAACTGAACCTGTACAATCTCGACTGGGCATCAATTATTGAGTAGTTTTAGTATTTTTCTACAATATTTGTAATAATACAAAATCGGAATCGATTTTCACCAAATTTAATACACTTTCTTCCAGGAGTGTGTGCCAAAATCCATTTAATTTTCATATATTGACAATTTGGTGGACAATAGATGTGAAATCAGATGACATATATGGGAGCTATGCAGGGTGAGATAAAAAAAACTGCAATAAAGTCAAACGCCATAATTTTTACATTTTTATTTAAATTTTATTGAATGAAAGCAAAACATGTCGGAAATCGCATCAAATTTTAGAAAAAAGTTTAGATTTGTTCGAATTGGTGACCTTTGGCACAAATTATGGCCTTCAAACGGTCAATGAAACCGTCACATGCTGCCCGAATGTTGCTCTGTGGTATTCTGGCCCATTCCCGGCGAAGCGCTTGCTTGAGGTGATCGACACTTTAGTATTTTTTTCTGCCAACCTTGCTTTCCAAAATACTCCAGACACAATAGTCCAACGGATTGGTATCAGGAGATTTTTTTGGCCGTTGTGCACTGGAAGTGAACTATTCTTGGGCGGCGCGTGCTAAGTGCGATGGTGTTGAGTCCTGTTGGAATGTCCAAGGTTTGCGGCCAAAATATTTGCGTGCCCAATGCTTTAATACACCCTCCGGAATATTTTCGCGACAATATTCGGCATTTATTCTGATGCCACGGTCGATTAATACGAGCGGAGAGCGACCATCGGCTGTTATGGCGGGCTAC